CAGATAAAGGTAACTGAAAAATGATACAATACTATTCTCCTCAAGTCCACACATGACTTGATTCTAAACAGGACAGATAATTTGTCAATGTATTTGCATTTCATTTTAGTAAAAGGTTTCCTTTGCCAAAGCAGAAGACAAATGCAGTTAAGTGGAACACCTGTGATTCCCCACACCCCCTATGTAATTACCAGGGAAGACATTTAGACAGACAGTAAATGACAAGCAGATCAAGCAAGGGCAGCTATAATATGACAGACAAGTGGAATAAAACATTTACAGAGGCAAGAAAAGGCAGAAGCCTTTCTCCTGAAGTTATTCAATTCCCTGTGTATTAAATATGCCAGATGGGTAGCATGGCTGCCTCAGTTTCAGAAATGGTAGGCTGGCTTCAAAGCAACCCACACAGAAAGTGAGGTCCCAATGAATGGAAAGAAACATGAGAAAAAAACATAATTAATCAAACAAAAATTCCTGAAATAAGGAGGATCTGGGGAACTACAAACTCATCAGCCTTACCAAAACCCCTGATAAAATGATGAAGCATTGTCAAACTTTGACAGTAGCAACTTCTAGACACATGGTGGTTGGGAACAGAGAGCATGGAAGGCAGATTTTGTCTAACCAGCCCTACTGCCTGCTACAGTGAGATGTTCAGACAAGGAGAAAACAGGGGATTATGTTTACCTTGGCTTTAGAAAAGTTTTCCATATGGTCTTCTACAGCACCACTGGAGCCAAACTGGGAGCCATAATTTTTTTGGGCAAATTGAAAAAGTAAGCAAAAGGTGGATGGATCACCAGGCTTAAAGAATATTGATTTGATGATTCAAAGTCTAACCAGCAGCTATTATGAGCTGCATTTGTTGATCCTGGGGCAAAGATAACTACAACTACATCAACAACGTGGATGATGGGACGTTCATCCTCATTTCACTTACAGACTACACTAAACTGGGGCAGCAGTGGATCTTCTGCAGGCTAGTGATGCCCCTGAAAAGGACTCTGACAAATAAGAATGGGCCTCAGAAGTTCAAGAGTGGTAATTCTGCATCTGGGGCAGAATAACACCATGCAACAGTATGGCCCAAGGGTCAAGAGCAGCTCCAAACCAAGGCCAGGCTGCCTAGAGGACAAACTGTGAGCAGCAGAGAGGCTGTGACACAAGTGACACATCCTGGTATTGGTGAGCACCACCCACAGGCATGCGAGAGGAGGGGAGCCTGAATCTTCTCAGATGTGCACAGCAAGATTGTGAGAGACAACAGTCAAAAGTAACAGCAAGACAAATTTTTATTAGATATGGGGTTTAAGAAAAAAACATGGCCAAACATTGGTACAGGTGCCCAGAGAGGGCATGTAATCTTTCTCCCTGGAGATTTCCAGAACTTACCCACACAAAGCTCTCAGCATCCTGATCTAACTTGCAACTTCATCCTGCTTTAAGCAGGGTGTTGGCCTAAACCTCTGGAGGTGCCTTCCAACCTAATACCTCTCTGTGACTATACCAGGTAAACTGCAAACCTAAACCACATTTCCACTTCTGAAATAACCTGCCTAATGTAATTACTCTATATTGAATAGGCCAAAAGGTTCTTATTCACTCCATGTCCTACACTGACAAATAGACGCCACACTTCAACTGTGAAACTACTGAATTTCAGCCATGTACCCAATGAGCACGATGTATATTGAGGAAAAACAGATTCTACAGAAATAAAGTCTCTGCCAAAGGCAACAGGGGTCCATTCTCATGAGCTATAGTCTGGCTGATCTCACTGTGAAACAACTGGCTCTTCTCACCTTTATAAATATTACTGGATCCCACCCTTCAGCTGATTTGTTTGTCCTCCTGCACTTACGACAACATTAAATTACACTTAGGCAAACCAAAATAGCTTTTTCAAGCAGGACAAGAAAAATAAGATTGACACTGCATGAATTCAAAGCAATGAAGTTGTGTTTAATTTTTCTTGAAATCAGAGGTACCCACCTGGATACCCACTGAGGCCATAGGCTTTCCACTGGCTAACTGGCTGTAATCCTGCTCTGTAGGCATCTTGATCACTGACTGAAGAAATACTGAGCTGTGATCTGAACACCTGGAAAAATAAAACAGATCTCGTTTAAAAAAGAGTGAAAAACACAAAACTCATCCAAAAATAGCATCTGAAAGGAAGAGTGCTACCATGCTTGAAGGCAACTCTTGTGAAAGTGCTAAATGTACCACAAAGCTACTGCCTCAAAGCTACAGCTGTGACCAGGACAGGGCAAACAGAGCCAGTACACACTGAACATAAGAATCAAAAGGTACTTACAGGTTTTATCTAGGGATGAGATGTCTCCCACTCATTAAAAAACCCAAACAATATATACCAATGAGAAAAAATTCATTATGATTTGTCCATTTCCATAGTAGGGCCTCATCATCATAAAACATTCTGGTAACTATCATCCTCCATTAGAGAGCAACATACTCATAACACTCCTTACTTTCACAGAAGATTCCAATTACAGGTTGCCCATGATCCTAGAGGGTAGATGACTAATCTCATCTCTAATTTCAGAAGGATAAGCAGTACAGCAATGAAGTTGCCAAAGTTGTGAGATATGAAGAACTACAGAAACTCTGTCAATTCTGAATGCCACAATGCCAATTCTGTTCCAAACAGCAGGATCAACAGCTCAAGGCTTGGCAAGATGTATTTACTTCACATACTCCCTTATGTTACAACAACACATGTATTTAAGCTAACATTTGCTGGTAAAAAAACTCCAAACTCATTCTACTGTGTTTCCACTCCCTTCTTCCCTTAGGACAGGGAACTGTCTTGAGGAGGGCAAGGCAGAAGCAAGTTGGTTTTGTTCTGGCTTAGTTGCCAGTCTAGCTCTCCATGCAGCAGTGGAACAGTACAGGTTCATATAAGGAAAGAGATGGCCAGGCACAGAAGGAATAAACAGGCAGAGACTGCAAGACTTTGTCTATGACAACTTAAAATGTGTCAAATTAGGGCCTTTGCACACAGCCTCTGTAGTGGTGCATGTGTAAATCAGCCTCTCTGCAGCTGACAGCTCTGATAACATTTTCTGAACAACAGGACTAAATTACATACATAGAAGTTCTAAGAAATTCTGAACTATTGCTGGACAGCTTTTGGCAATATGATCAACTTTACCAATTTTTCAGCTCTTTGTCAAAAGCAGCTTTGTGAGTGCCAGCCTTGAGCTTACTTCACAGTCCTGTCCACAGAGCATCCCCAGGAAGTCTCATCCTCTGACCAAAGCTCTGCCACTCACTGCCTCCTCAAAGTGCTTGCACACCAGCTATTGCCTGGGCTTTTGGAGAACAGGAGGTGTTTCTGTGCTGAAGAATTACATCTGCTGAATCAGTTAAACAATCCTGGTAACAGGGCAGATGGGGTATGTCACACTTCACTGAAGAGCTCAACTGCATGAAGCAGTTTTCTGAGAAAAAAGAAGCAATATTATCCAGGCCAATCTGCCTGGCCAGTGTGTCTTAAAGAGAAACAGCAGATTTTTTAACCTGGTGGAAAGAGGAATAAAAGATGTTTTCACCAGTAGTTGCTACCTGATCTTAGAAGGTAACAGGCACAAAGAGTCATTTTGAAAGAAGACAGATCCTTGTGATGTTCTCAAATTGAAATCAAAATGAATTTCCCAGAAGAGCCATAATGCTCTAATCCTTTACCAAATACAGGATTCCAGCAAGCTCAAGAAAGGCTGAGATGTTAACAACTTCCTTAGTTAATTCTAATGCTTCTAACAATTTCATATGGGTCAGGTTTTGTGTTTCATTAGCAACAGCAAAATTATAGTCCAAAAAGACAGAAAAATAAATAGCTTAATAGAACACTAACAAGAAAAGACTAAGCATTGAAACAACGAAAAATTAGGCAAAGTTTCATTTTAACTATACTCCTCATTCCTTTTTTTTGACATAAGCTCGTAAGTAGAAAATCCTTGGATAACAACACTTTAGCAGATTTGTGTCATTCTTTTGTGAGGTGACAAAACAGAAGACAAGTTTTAAGGATAATTTCTTCATCACTGAAGCCATGGTAAACGACTACGATGGCTCCTACCTTCAGCAGTGCTGATGACTGTATTCCCCAACCCACTGTAGCAGCCGAACTCATCCCGATGACTAAGCCAAGCATTTATTATACAGGCGCGAGAAAGAAGAAACTTGACTGGGGGGAAGGCAGTACCGCAAGGGGAAGCTGATTCCAGCTCACCCAGGTTTTTCAGGGCTAAGACAAGCGCTAGCAGGGAAACAGTGTCAGTTCCGAGAGTGAAACTCGCCGTGTTTTATGTCCATACATTCTGCTGCTTCAGTATCACGTGGTTCTGTAAGAGACTTCGAAGTTCCCTAACTGCAGTATAGGGAGCTAATTAAATATTATGAAAGTAAATATAAGGAAAAGTAGTAAATCTGTGACTGGGCAAAGCGCTGGGCAGCGTGCCCCGGCTCAGGGACGCCCCGGGCGAGCCCGGCTCTGGGGCCGCGAGCAGAGGGGACCCGGGCCCTGCCCAGCTGCCCCGCTCGGCTCACGCTCTCACTTTTAAACAGCACAGGGACCGTAAAAGGCTCAGCGCTCGACTGCTGCGTCCTCTAGACAGAAAGGAGGCGGCACCAGGGATTCGGCGTGGGGCACGAAAGGAAAAGGCAGGTGGAGAGAGCAGGCTACAGCGACACCGACACAGCCCCGCACTGAGACACCGCACCGAGGGCGGGACGCGCTCCGGGCCGCTCGCCGCGGGGCGCGGGCAGAAGCAGCCCAGCATTACCTGGCCCCCCGGCGCAGAGAAGTCCACCACGCCCCGCAGGTCGGACGCGTCGCGCTGCCGATAGAAGCGAAAGAGCCGGCGGAACGCATCCTCCCCACCCTCACGGGTCAGGGCCGCCGCCGCCATTTCGGGCCGGCCGGGGCGGGGCCGCCCCTCCCTCTCTCCGTCCCTCCCTCTCACCGCAGTCCCGACATGGCGGCGGCCAGCGCGGTGCGGGCGGTCGGGCGCCGCTCCCGGCGGCTCTTCGATATCTTCGTGGCTGAGATTCCCTGGACGGTGTCGAGCAGTGAGTATGCGCCCCCCTCCCATCCCTCGCCGCTGCTGGGGCTGGCGGGGTTGGGCGGCCTCGCCGCGTGTGCCGGCACAGGCCGGGGTGGGCCAGGGCGGCGCGGCTGCGCGGAGGCGCCGGGCCCGGGTAACCTGGTGCGTTTTCCCACAGAGGAGCTGAAGGAGTACTTCTCCCAGTTCGGGTCGGTGCAGAGGTGCCAGCTGCCTTTCGTGAGTACCCGCGCGTCCTCCGGGCCGCACTTCGTGTGTTCTCGGCGAAGCGGGGAAGAGCCGCCGGCTGCTCCTGCGGCTGAGGCCTTGCCCCGAAGCAGCTCCCCCGCTTCCTTGGACCTGCAGTCTGGACCCCTCATCTTGAACTCTAGTGAGGTTTTCAGGGCTCTCTATCCTTAGCTCCTTATTCCAGGAGTGCCACTACTTGTCTGCCAGTGCTCGGCCTTATTGAAGCTTAGTGGTTTCCGTTGGCTTTCAAAGAGCTTTACAAAGTACATCCTTCAGCATCCTGTTGATGCTGCCATTTCTGAATAATTAATCTAAGTGCTTTGAGCTTCTCTATTATCGTGTTGACATTCTTCAGACAGAGAATAAAGTTTTTGTGTGCCTGGTCTCACTGGCCAAAAACTAAAGATGTGGGTATGAACCTGTTGTCTTTTCCTGCTGTGGATTAAGACCCCGTCCAGAGTGCAGGGCTAACACAAAACCCATAACCTCTGCGGGGTGCTGCCAGTGCCTCTGTCGTTTAGGCTGTTTATCTTCTGAGTGTATAGATCGGGGATTGTAGTATCTAGTGCATTTTTTTAGAGATGAACGGTCAAAAAAAGTGTTCCTTTGCAGGTAAATTGCAGGCATTGCTTGAAGTGTAAAGGTTCTGTCTGCTTGTTTCTCCACTTGAAGTAATCCTGTTAAATTAAGCTCAGTGGGTAGTGAACGTCAGTCAGTGAGCTGATGGGTTCACTCTGTGTTGAGGATTAGTTTGGCAATGGAGAAAGTTTGAAACAGGCTGGTTGTTTTGAACACTTGAAGCTTAGGTGCCTGCCTATCATGTTTTCCCTCAAGCCCAGGTCAGACTGCATTGTTTTGTTGCGAAGTCTGGTAGCTTACCACAAACCCACCTCCATCACAGGTTCAAGTGATGCATGTGTGTACATTCACATTCAGTGAGTACTTGAGGAGTTTCATTACTGCTTAAAACCCGGAGGTACAAAAATCACCAGTGCAGGACAGCCTAATTTGGACATCACTGTGGTACTGAAACCAGGCAGTACCTTGTAGGTGGTTTGGAAGTGCTGCCACTTATGCCTGATGATGAGAGTGGCTGAGCTGTTGTGAACTCGGAGTGGGATCCGAGTGGGGACAGAAGGCACTTGGCTTTTCCTCATTATCACCCGTTTATTGACAACTGTCTTTTCTGACTGGCACATTATTTCTAAAAATAACGTTTTTCTTTTCAGTGCAGTTAGTGCTTGTCATTCTGAATGGCACTCTGCTTTTGTAGTGTCTTAAGCAGCTGCTTTATCTTGCTGAATGTTGTTCAAGTACTGTGGCCATTTAAATGTCAGTTCTGTTGTGACTGGCTTATTAGTAGATAAATACTGCAGTTAGAAACTACTGTCTATACATTATTCTAGGCTTCAACTGTATCTTAAGATCGTGATTTTTTGTTATTATTGCTAGATTCAAATTGAAAGGCGTGTAGAACAGCCTGTGCTAGACCCCTCACACTATCACTGACACCAAATGTCTTAGTGTGAAAAAGGCTCCTGAAACAGCAAGTGTGCCAGTTCCTCTGACAATTTCTGAATCTTTAAATTCAATACCTGTAGAAAGTTTTTAACAGCCTATGTGAATATTTCCTGTAGTAATTGCATTTTGGTTTTTTTTTACCTGGTAATTAGAACAGAGATACAGGCTTTCACAGACGTTATTGCTGGATTAAATTCTCAACTCCAGAAGAAGTTCAGAATGTGTTACAGAAGGACCCCCACATTCTTGAAGGTTCCAAGGTAATGTGCTAATTCCTTTATTACCTATTATATTCTTTCGAAGTGTGGTTAAGAATTTTAGTCACTCAGTGTGCTTTTAATGTTTTGTAAATCATTACCACTTCTGTTTATTCTCTCCTCTCAACTTGAGTTGTTAGGGGTCAAGATCATAGAGATACCAGAGAGATCACACTCAAGAGACCAAAAACTCCTGCTATGCTAAAGTAATGTGAATGCAGTAAAACTGGTTGGGATATGCTGTGCAACTAGTTTGCAGTTTGTAATGCAGGTTTCTGCAGGTGGGTTCCAACATCTGATCCAGATGTTGAGTGGCAGGGGGAACACGATAAAGAAAGTGATGCTAAGCTTTGAATTTCAGTGAAATTTGTTTTCTCCTGTTGTCATTTCATACAGGAGAAATCAGCTGCTTGCTTTCATGTGTTCAAGACAACTCTAAAATTGCTTTAGTGTAGGGTCTTGTTCTCTCCATCTTTAAGATTTTAAATGTTAGTAACACAAAAAATAAAACAGTTTGGCAATCTCAGTGCATTAATGTATGGCATCAAGCCAGTGTACACATCCACTACACATCCAAAAGTGTCTGTCCTTGACTGGTCAGCTGGAGCCAGACAACTCTATCCTCCAGCTCCACTCCAGCACAGAAACACAGCAAAGCCATCTCACCACTTTCTCAACATTTAGTGTGCAGTGGTATTGACAGATAAGGAATAAATAACAGTGAGTCAATGGCTGCCCAAAGCCATTTTATTAACAGCTCTCATATCAAAATAATTAGAACCTAGCATCTGGTATGTTCCCTAAATAGGGGATTTTCTTACACACTTACATGTGCTGCAGCTGATAAAACTACTCAGATGGTGTAGTAGAGAGTGAAACCATGAGCAACAGGCAGGCTGGTGTATCACACATAATCAGTTCAAGCCTTTGATTAATTAACAAGAATTCTTCAATATCCTTTTGACATCTAATTTCTCATTTTGAGACTTTAAATGCTAGGAGATAGTAAAAGGAATTGATGATAGACTTCAGTGATGCAGTATTTTGATTGTGGTAAAGTATTTCACTTGCCATGGTTCATATTACTGCCCAAGTCATCACTGTTTGTGGTTACTTCAGTACCTATTCCCAAGAAGAACCAACCTGCAAGTTCCACCTGGTACAAAAATGGGAGCAGAAATTAAGACTCCTTAAACTGTGATTAGGTTGGTCCTTCGTAAATTGTGTTGAAATTGGATGTTATCTGTTTGCAATTACCAAATTAGGTACTAGAAATAACATAGTATTTAGTGGCAATTTCCTGGAAATTTTTGCTGCTTTTTGTTCTTGAATCTGTAAGGATAGCCACATGCATTTAACTGCATAGGCTTCAAAGACTATATTCTCACAAGAGGTGCATGCTAAGAGGCTCCTTTATAGTGAAATAAAAAGCAGAAAGTAAGCAGTAGTTATTTTCATTTCTTAGAAAATGCAGGCTGCTCTAGATTACATGAGCACTTTTCCCAATTTTTCTAGGCTAGCTTTAGACAGTTTTTATTAATTCCAGTTGAAAGCACAAGCTTTTAAGATGCATTTTGCTGGTACAACTAGCAATTGCTATGGATACATATTCAACTTTTGTGTCAGGAAAGCCCTGGCTTGGGGCTTATGAAACTGAATTGGTTATAAATGTATCTTCTGCTTCCTGTATCCATGTTCTGGGTGATCAGAAATGAAAAATAACAAACTTTCTTGCCTAGCTAATTTAATTAATTTCCATTGTTTTCAGCTCGCTCTCAAACAGCAGATCCGTAGAAGACGCAGTCAAAGGAGTCAGAGTGAGTGAGTGGTGGAAGGAGGCTTTATTTCACTAAATGTAAAGAAACTAAAATAAAGATTACTGAGAAACTATGAATGAGTACTTGTTTTAAAACAGAATCCAGCTGTTTCCCCTCCCTTGCTCAAAAAACTGTATAGCCACACTAAAACACTGAATTATTAACACCCCAGCATCTGTTACAGCATAAGATGATCATTATATACAGCAGGAAAGCTCTTAACAGATGAAGTCAAAGCTTCAGCTACCTGCAAAAACTAAAGCTGTAGGAAGGAGGCTACATTCTTACCCTGAGGTGCTGGGCAGTGGGGAATCAGCAAAGTCAGAACTTGCTAAAGAATAATTAATTTCCTTATGAAATGTTTCCAAGTGGTCTCCATGTCTTCTCTCTCTTCAGGTAGCTGTCCCATGTAGAAGAGTTAGTGTGTGTATGTATCCACACGGTCAGAGTTGTGAACTGCTGTGATGCAATGCCATCCTCCTATACACTCAATATTAAAAACCCTTTTGCATGAAGTCCAAGCTTGCAGTCCATTTCCCTACCTCTCAAGGAGCAGAGGCATTCAGTCCTTCCTCCTCTTCTTGCTCTCGTGCTCATGTTCCTTAGGGCGGCTGCTGTCTGATGGCCGTTTAGAGCCACCGTGTTGCTTGGCTTCCTCCAGAAACTTGTCCAAACCAAAAGGATCCTCCTCAAATTGAACTGGTCCGTCTCTGCCCCTGCCTCTGGTGTTACGATCCGAGTTAGAAAACTCTTTGTCAGGAACAAACCTGCAGGAGAAGATGATACTCAGTTGACTATCTTCAAAGTACTAATTAAGAATATTCCTTAAATTTATTTCCTTACCTGTTGGTCTTTATTCGAGCCTCTAGATCATCACCATACATATCCTTATCCAGATTTTTACTTGGCCTGTAGATGTTTTGGGCCATATCCTTGCCACTTCTCCAAGGCTGGTCATAAACATTATAAATTTCATCCTCTCCTCCAGCAAAGCCACTATCCATACCCTGTGAGGAACGGCAGAACAGCACAAGTTCTGTTAAATCGACAAAATGTCAGCTAACTTACTTTATCAACAAAATACATTGATGATGTTACACAGTTGCACAAAGATGACATGGCGTGATTTACAATTGATTTCAAATGAGTCCAAGCACTTGATGAGGATGTGAGTGGGTCTGGGATTAAGTCCAGAGAACATCACATTACAGGCCTCAGTCCTACTCTTCCAGATAGCAACAGGAAGGATCACAAGCCATCCGCATTTCAGAATAATGGATCACTTCAGTCTGCCCTGCAAGTGCAGCTGTCTGTAATAGCTCAGTACAGCCATACAGAAATGGGTATTATTCAGAATTTCTGCAAAACATGATTTAAGCTGACTGATCCAAATCGCACAGAGGCTTATATAAACTCTGAAAGTGTAAGTATCTGCTTGTTCATTTTTGGTTCATCAGCTTTCCCTCCTTGCCTGCAAGTCTTTCACTGGAGACATGAAGAAGAGTGATTGACAAACTGCAGGTCTATTGAGGGATTTGCTGAAGCCCAATCTATTTTGTCATCTCTGAATAGTATAAAATTCAGGGAAAATAAATGTTGCTGTTAACTCTGTATCTTCAGAAGTATCAACACAAGCAGTAATGGGAATAAAAAGTATTTACTTGGTCCTCTCTGAAAGGAGATTTCCTATTCAGTCAGTACATTTGTACAAGAGAAGAAAATGAGGTCACTGCAGCTTGAAGGCAAAAGAGTTCTTCTCCCCACTCCCCAGTGGGGAGAAAAATCACAACAAAAACACTTTACTGCAGCTATACATTTAATTTTTTTTGCCTAGGCTCTTGATAAAGGAAATCAATAGTTTTCTAAGCAGTTATGTAAAGAATTTTTTTCTGAATGTATCCACAACAACCATGAGAACAGCCTCTCTTTAGTATTCTGTCTGTACCCACAAAGGAATGATGAGCATGTTCTCATTGAAAGCTACACAGCTTTCTATGAAAAGAAAAGGTATTTTACCTTGCTCTGGTTGAACAGCCTCTGGTCATATTGGATTTCATTGGATGGCCTGGGGTTTGGTACCCCCAGGGCAATAACTTCACTGATATCTCTGTTCTCATTTCTTTGCAGCTTTGACCTGAATTAAAAAATGGAAAGTTTTATGAGGCCAGTAAACCATACTTGTTGACACACTCAATTGCAACCCGATCCTGTATTCCCTGCTAACAATTTGCCTCAGGAGCCAGATTTTGACTGTTGTTCTTCCTTACTAGGTAACATTTAAAATTTGTCTCCTGGCAAAGGAAACATTTGGAAAAATTATGTTCAGCTGGGCATGACATTTAAATTTGCTTTCCATTATCTGCAATTTACATCAAGCTGACTTGGTCTAAAATGTCATATTTATTTTTTGCAAGAATTAGTGTAGTTATATTCTGGAAAGGCCGAGCAATCCAATTTCAACATACTAGAGATTTTAAGCATCCAGAAACCATTTGCACTCAAAAATCTCAGTGACTTTAGCTAATAAGATACTCCAGCCTACCTCCATAAATCTAAGCTTACTCAAAATGAACAGCTTCAAGAAACAAAGCCACTATTGATAACTCTAATCTCACCAAAATTAGAAGATTCAGGTTTCAATCTTTGCTCTCAACATGTTAATTAATCCTGAACATAAAACATTAAACCTGAAGTCCCACTGAAGAAAAACCCGCCCAAAACCAACACAGCACACCCCTCTTTCCCATTCATGTGGAAAATTCCACATTTTGAAGAAAGTACTACAGTATTTTAACACAGTAATGCCTTTTCATATAATGAACAAACTGTGCTTCATACCAGTCACTATCTCCACAAGATAAATACAACTCAGGCACTTATATCAAAAAAAGGGAAGGTCAGTAATAGGTTCCCTAGTGGGGAAGCCAGTGCCAGTACAGGAATAAAGCAGCTTTTTTTTGTGACTCACCTTTTATCAGGGGCTGCCCGGGAAAGATTTCTGTCATGCTGCCTCTCTTTGCGCCTGTCATGTCTGATTTCATCTCTTTCTCTAGCTTCTCCATCCTCTGAACAAGTAAAGATTGCTCATTATAGACAAATATTTGAGGTTTGAATTAATTATGCCACAGACATTGGCACAGTATTATTTTACAGAAGAGTAGTGACCCTTAGCACTATTTAAAATGTTCCACTTGAAATAAACTGAACACATGAACACCACGGCTTTCTTATGCCCCAAGCAAGTGACTGTTCTTGGTAAATCAAAGCAGACATCCTAACAACTATGTTCTTCTATCTTTCAAGAGCTTAGAATAATTGTCTGTCTAGGAATTAATATCCTAAAACATTTACAGATCATTGTATCATAACTCTAAGCATAAAAGTATCATTGAAACATGCAGGGATTTAAATGTTTTGAAGAACATTATGTGATGCAACATTATGTGATGCAACCTGACACACTCAGGTTGGAAGAGAGTCTAATTCAAAACCTGCTATCAATGCTGAATTCAAACCAGGTTGGTCAGGGGTTTTTCCCACTCAGGTGAGGAAAACCTGCAAGGATAGAGACTGACAGATTTCCTAGGCGACCTGTTCCATTGCTGTTTGTCCTCATGATGAAAATCTTTCTCCTGACACACAGCTGAAACCTCCTGCTTCAACTCTTGACCACTGTCTCATTCTTCCACTGTGCAACTTGGTGAAGCCCTCTGATAATCTTTTAGGGATCACTGTGATATGATCTGCTGGGTAACCTTCCCATTATCTGGCCCCAATGGCACATCATCTCCTAGCAGAACAAGCCTTATTCTGTCAGCATCTCCTGAACAGGCAGTTACTCAAGCTCCATGACCATTCTGATGCCCTTTCACTGAACTGACTCCCATTTATCAATGTCTTTCTTGTACCTGGAGGCCCATAACTGCACAAGGTACTCCAGATGATGTCTAACAGGTCACCACTAAAAGGAAATTATTACTTCCCTTGACTTACTGGTTACACTACTGCAGATGCAGCTTTGTATGCCCTTAGCATTACTGCTAAGGAAATACAAAGCTGCATCTGCACACTGCTGGCTTATATTCAGCATATTGTCCACTACAACTCCTGGGCCCTTTCCAACAGAGTGGCTCCCCAGCTGGCCAGCTCCCAGCCTTTTGGTAAGAGGTTAGTACATCCCAGCAGCAGGATTTGCCATTATATGACCATATCCCTCCATCTTCGGAAGAGATTGTAACTGCTCTCTGAAGTTCGTAATCTTGATCTTTGAAGTGTAATTTCCATCAGAATGGAAGACTTAGCACAATGGAGACAATTTAGTTAGGTTGGCTGTGGGGTTTTTTGGGGCCTACTAGCCAACAAAATTGCAGCTCTGCAAGATCAGTTACAACAGTGCAAGAGCGAGAATATTGCACTGCAATATTACCTTTGATAACTTAAAGATGGTTTAGTTCTTCTAGAAAAATCTGCCCTTCATTTGTAATAAGCTTAAAAATATTAGTTTAGAACTGTCCATGAAAGCCATCACTTGCACTGATGCATTATTAACTTCAAAATTCTCAGTGTCCTAAACCTATATACACCAACATACTGATGTGAGGTTCAAACCTGCATCCCATCAAACCAGGCAGTGAATTAACCAATAAAGACATGAACTGATGTCATACTTAGACATTTCACCTACATTTAGATATTTCAAGTTCTCAAATTATTACTCCAAACCCACACTTATGAATACTAAAAAAGCCATTAGTGTCTTAATGACAAAGAACAGTACCTTTTTCAACATGGGTTTTGATCCCTGCTCTTCTCTCCCTGGCTTTCTGAGCCATTTCTCTGAGCTTCTCCTCATGTTTCTCCTTTTCTTTCTGAGCCATCTTCCTCTCCACCTGGGCACGCATCTCTACTGCCTCCCGAGCCTGCACAAGAGAGACACGGTTAAAAATACAGAAAGCATAGCACCTGGGACACACACAGATCTGTCACAGTTAGCCAGTAAACAGGACAGAAATGAAGCCAAAATCAGGAAGCTTAAA